GGACAGAGCTGCTAACGTTGGTAAAGAATAATAGAATAAAAACATTTATTCACAACTCTTTAAATGCTGAGTATTGCTCAGACTACAGCCTCATGCTCATTGCTTCACATTTTGTAGAAATCCAAAGCTTGATGCTAAGCTGTGATTGATGTTCGAGGGAAGGGGGTTTTACGCAAATTGTCAATTTTGAGATCAACAAATCAGCCACAGCGAGGGAAGCATTTCCTCTGAATTATCCAACACTCACAGAGTCATAATACCAGAGCAGAGCTCTCCTCCCTGTGCTGGGGGAAGTGCAAACAGTGTTTAAAGAATAAAAGAACAAACGGAGACAAGTCATTATGTTTGCCATTGTGATCCGTAATTACATAAAGAATAAGCCGAGTGACTTTAAAGCACAATCTCTCACAGAGGCTTTGAGAAAGATTAGGAGAAAATCAGCAGCCAGACCCAGACCTGCAGTCACATGTAGAGGCTGTGCAGAAGACGAAATCACACAAAAAAGGCCATAAACTAACTTTAACATTCAAAATATGCCTCCACACTGAATCATTATGCACCATTTGACCAGACTTCTTTATTTTCAGTTTAAATGTAAAAAGAATGCATATTTTTGCTCAACCTTTGCACAACTCACTGCTTTGAACATCTGAGCTGTCTCCATTGAGCCGAACATCTGAGCTGTCTCCATTGAGCCAAATTGTAAGTAGTTTGCTATGGAAAGCAAAAACAAACAAAAAAAACATCCAGAAGTGTAAAAGTGTGTGTGTGTGGAAACAACACACCCCGCGGCTCGGTATCACTGTGTAGTGTTATAGCAGTGTATAGACCCTGAACAAATATCTCTATAAATATGACTCCGTGTACTATTGATGGTCACAAAGACTGTAAGTGGAGCAACTATTTTTATGAAATGCAACACTATGGATATATTAACTTTTGCAAAAATCTTGTTTACCTGTATGATACTCTGAAAAGCTGTCAAAATAAAAGAAAATCCTGACACAACATGAAAGAGTTATTTGGGACAAGCTGCTGTGTGATTAATTATGGGTGTTTTTTTATTAAAGCGTACACTTAAAGATAACATTGCTATTCTTCACCTGCCCTGTTTAATACTTATAACCAGTATATACCACACTATAATGGAGTTGTGAACTAGTTGTTTCCTCAGGCTGAGATGTAGCAAAGAGCAACTGAGCCTCACGTTTAAAATAGATGGAGTGCCCCTTTAAGGTTTAATATATCTCATGCCTTTTTTCTGTGGATATAGTTTGCCCTGTTGTCAAAAACTTTATTAACCCATTTCTGATTAAATATTTATTTTATTTTGAAATGTTCAGGCAAGCCCTTAAAGGTGGGGTATGTAATTTTGGAGAAACCAGCTCGAGTGCGCTAGAATTTGAAAGTACACAACCGGAAAAAATCTGCCTCTTCCTTCAGACTTCCTTACAGAGCCCCTCCTCCAACACACACGAACGCGCACATGACCAATGAGGGCACGAGATAAGTTTGTGCACAGATGGAAGGCTGACAGGCAGGTAGGCCATCCAGTTATTTTAGGGCCGGCTAAAATGATTGGTCGTGCTTTTTACAGCGCTACGGCTTCGACAATTTTTTTTATGTATTTATTGTCAAAGCATTTAATTAGTCATTGCTATCGGGATGTTAAGAGCATTCCATGGAATATAACAAAAAGTGCTTCTGAAATAAATTACATACCCCACCTTTAACTGAGCACACATTTGAAGACATTTCCAAAACTGGTCGACCAAGAAGGATGAAGAGTGAATTTCTTTTTATCATACTATATTTGTTATCTTTGGGCACAGATAGAACTAATGTTCCCATGTGCCCAAAGACTAAATATAGTAAAAGATTTCAAGACTTTAGAGCAAAGAGAACAAGCATTTCTCCTTACTACATGTTTTACTATTTTGATATTAGACTACAGTATTCTGATTAAACTATGATGCTTCTTGTATGAGTTCACAACTTCATTATAATCTGTTAAAAACATTTATCAAATGTATATTTACTTCTTAGAAATGTTGCATACGGAAGTGTCCTTTTTAAAATCTTAGTTTTTTGTATTTGTATTGTAGTGCCACTGTCTGGCCACATGGGGACATATCATAAGCCAAGTAGTGAAGAACAGTGAATAATACTTTTATTAGGAATTGGCCCTAATAACTTAAATTGCTCAATGAAAAAAAAAATGTTATATGTACAAATATGTTATTGCTGATACATTACTATCAAACGTATGCAGGTTGAATAGAAAATCCAATGCTTCATGCTTTCTGGGTCAATTCTCCGTATCTCCACTCGAGGTCAGTATAGACCAGTCTTTTGTTTTCATGGTGTTTGGTTTCATAATTCTTGAACTTACATAAAGTTATTATTAGGGTTGAAGGTATTTTATAATGCGATGCTGTGAGTTTAAAAACTGGAAAGACATTTATATGATCTTGAATCTCTTTTGCAGCTTCTGGAAATTGAAAGACACTTCCTGCATTTGATATTGAGGTTTTCACACGTACATCCTGTTGCAATACATTTGAAAACGTGAAATTCAGATAGCATTTTCTGTCTTGATGAATAGGATTCTGCATGTAGACAAACCTTAGACTTGATTTGAAGTATTCTAAGTATGGCTCTGTTTCTGCTTTGCCTTATATCTTATTTTGAACACTATATCAAACTGCTTTTTCTTTATCAAAGCAAACAGACTAGCACAGGGTGAGATGAGCACGGAAGGAGCAGAAGAAGCAGCTCTCCTGCAGGGGCCGAGCAAGGGGGGGGGGCTGCCTGGTGCCTGCTGGAAGCCTCTGGTGTTCTCCGTGGGGGGGGGGGGGGTCAATCCAGAGCTGAAGTCATGTCTGCATCTGAGAGAGACAACTCAGAACAGCCTGAACACTGCTGTGCTCCTCCTGAAGAGACACTGAGGACACTGGAGCTGGAACACAACCTTCTACTTGTTTATCAGATGGCACGCATTGTTCAAATCAAGTAAAGTATACGTTTATTGCCATATACAATGACAGCATCCTCCCTGACTTTCAGGTAATCATGGGTAATATTGAAATTATGAGCATGGTGTTACAGCACCTTTAAGAGTTGAAATGTTAATCTAAGCTGCACAAATGTTAACCCGTACTCAATTGCCTGGCTCTCAGTCCATTATATAGCACACACTGCCCTAATGTGTCTCCCAAACACACAATCACACACTAATGTTATTAACAGCGGACATGGATCACATTAGTTGTTTGTCAGCATTTGATGGATTGCTTCACCTCTTCCTCCGACATCTGTGCCCCCTCACTGAATTGCTTCTCATCAACACAGAACATATTGCCGGTATAGAATAACTGCAGAGACAATGGGTTCATCCTTCAAGAAGACTTCTCTGTTTGGCACTAAAAAGAAACCGTTAACAGCACCTCTAGTGATCAGGGGCTTCAGTATGTAGGTCTCGAATTGCCTCACTTTCAGCTGGCAGCAACCTTATGCTTTCATCTGAAGTGAGACAGTCATTGTTTGCCTGCAAAGAAAAGTAGATCCCGCTGTATCACTTTCACCTCATTTGCACTGCTTCACCTGAGAAGCTATGTTGACAAAACAGGAGAGGTATTTTCCCATGCTGTTATTTAACCAGATTGTCTGAGAGCAGGAAAAATAATCAACTCATTTGGGCGCAGCACAGACTCTACAAAGTTCATGCATGCTGTGTAAACATAAAACACAGTATTAAATGTTTCAAATGTGGCCCTAACTCTTTGTAAAACTACCTCCATGGAACACAAACATTTTAGGTTCAACAAGTATGTTGCACAGCAATGATTACCTGCAGAAGAGGCTGTGGGTGGGCCTGTTGGTGTGGCATTATTTGTATTTGTTTAAATGGAGAGAGATCGTCTTCTTAAAGCAAATCCTGTCACGGCCACTTTGAGGTTTATGGTTCAAAGCAGTCACATCATGCTCTGTTGGCACATGATCGCATGCAAGCAACCTGTTCTACACTGCAGAGGTCATTCAGCGGTCATTCTTTCACTGCTGTAAGGATAATTATTCTGTCGATTATATTCTGTTCAGATAGAGTTAACTCTGTGCCTTTCAGCTGAGTGCATTGCAATTATGACTTGGAGTCGTTATTAGAGCTGTAAGATGTGGGATAATGGCACCAACTGGAGTTGTAAGTGTCCTTCAGGCAACAGGCTGGATGTAATAACCATATAGTGATGCCTGGTACTTCAAAACATGAATTATGCATCAGTGCTTTGCAATGGGGAAGGGAAAATGATCTGTCTTGCATGGTTTTTATGTCGATGTCAATAGAAGGGGTCTGTCCTGACACGTTTAGCTGCAGAATGAACAATGGGTTCAGGTTAAGAGCGATCAATGGACAATCATTTTATATTTGGAGATACATTGTGAATTGTTTCCAATCATTTAGAGACACTTAAAGTGTGTCAAATCATTAATTGAGCATGCATAATGTAAACTCATTGTATTGAATGTTTATTTATTGGATTACAGTATATATTCAAAGTATAAAACCACAAGAATAGGCTGTCTCACCATCATCCTTATACTGTATATTCTCTGTTGTTTTGCTTTATGAACTAAAAAAACTGTTTGAAAGTATTCCTTATTTTGTTAGCATAGGCTCTTAATTTCCTATTATCAATGTCATGCATTCTTCAAGCTTTTGCATGATAATTCTAGCCTTTTAAAAGAAAATATATTGTCAAAACTACATTATGTTTGTTTTGCAATATCAACATGTAAACGTTATGTTTCGGTTAAATAATACATATGTGTGGGTGGGTTGGAAAATACCAGATTTGTTATTGTGATAATTCGTAGTTAAATCGCTTTTAAACGAATAATATATCTATACACGCTACGTTCATTTCTCAGATTTTGAATGAGATTTGGGGTGACGTTCGGTCTGCACTCGACTGAACGGCGTGTGTACCGGCGGGAAGAGGGGAGGGCCCACGCGCGGGCTGACGCTCTCTCCCCCACCCAGTCTCTCTCTCATCAGTGTGGCAGTCTGTCTACCTGCTGCGGACCCAGACAGGCAGGCAGTCCGGAGCCGTGGAACTATCCCAGCAGCCAGAGCCCAGGGGCGGCCGGTGGGAGGAGGCAGAGAGTCCGCAGCAACACTCAGCCTCTTTGACAGCCGTCGGAGGAAAGAGCCACCTGCACCAACACATGTCTACGGTAGGAATGATGTTATATCTTTTATTTAATGTATTCAGGATGTACAAATGTATTTTGGGAAGCAGAGGTGTCGTGGTACGCCGCTGCCCAGAGCGTCTTTCTGTGGTTTTGTCGGCTGTGTGATAGGAGCCGTGGGAGTGGGCATCTCCACACCGGGGCTGGAAACATCTCCCAGCACATACCGCTGGTAAAAAAGTGTGTTTGCTTTTTTATTATTCGTTTGTTTCAGTCTTAAGGTGTGAGTTGAGTAGGGGGTTGGCACGAGGCTGTGCAGCCGCCTCTAATAGCAGGATGGCGGGCGGCTCAGCTCGCGCCGCTGTCAGCGTGCAGCAGCTGCAGGCAAGATATTAACAGCCGTTACTCTGACAAAACAGGAAGTACGCGCTTTCATCTGTGGAAGCCGTAGTACTGTAAAAAGCACGACCAATCATTTTAGCCGGCCCGGCTAAAATAACTGGATGGCCTACCTGCCTGTCAGCTTTCCATCTGTGCACAAACTTATCTCGTGCCCTCATTGGTCATGTGCGCGTTCGTGTGTGTTGGAGGAGGGGCTCTGTAAGGAAGTGGCAGATTTGTTCCGGCTGTGTATTTTCTAATTCTAGCGCACTCACAGCTGGTTTCTCCAAAATTACCTACCCCACCTTTAAGACTGCTTTAAACTGTGTTACATAATGGGTAGAATAATTGATGTAAATATTTTTATGTGGGTCATCCTGGCCTCTGAATCCCAATAGGTGTTTGAACGTATTTTTCGAATGATTTTTTTTTTTTTTAGTGTATTAATTAATAGCAACAATTGTCAATGGTTGCATAACTAATAATGGAACTATGTCCTTCCCTCACTTTTTGATTTTATTTTGAAAAGTTTTAGCGGAAACTAAATGGTAACAATATATCTTGTTTTGACGGTTTTGACTATGGAATGGAGCGTGTTGGCACCAGGTTGGCACGGATTTGTGAGCATGTTCATTCTGCTTCAATGTTTCACAACTTTCACGGTGATGAATAACAGTGTCTGTGAAGAGAAAGAGATATTTAACGGACAGGGAGCCCACATGGACGTTCCTCCTGCATGTGTGTGGTTTGAATCACCTCCCTGCTGATAGAAAAGCCATGCTGACTCTCATGTTCATGAGAGCATTTTGCAACTGGGCAGCAGCTTGTGTTCATGTGTCACATTTGTTTATGTTTTTCCTGTTCTGAGACTAATTGGTCCACATCAGATAACAGATCCCAATTATAAAAGCAATTTCCTTACAGAAAAGATGTGTGTTGTTGCATAATGATTTGTACTTTAGGCTTGGACTTGTTTTGACTGTACACACATCTTGAAACAGAGTGATACCTCACATCAGTGCTGGAACCATCTCTCTAACGTTATCACAGTTCTATTTTTAGACTTTCAGACAAGAAAATAAACTTTACAGACTACTACATCTATACCAATTCATTTTTTGCATTCTGTAAGCACAATTCCACTCATAGGGTTTTGTTGATGTGTTTTGATGTGTGATCATAACCCTTACCTGTCACTATCTCATTTAACAAGAGACAAGATGAGAAAAGTGACTTTCTCAATCAGAATCGCCAACAGATCTCTAATTATCATCACGACATGGCCAACATTTTGTTCTCAGATAAGTGTGCATGCACGTTCGTGAATGTGTGCTCATTTATGTATTTTTTGTGGCCAGAAAGCATTTTAATCTCAACCTTAATTCCTTTCTGGTTTCTAAAGTTGCAAACGTGGCTTCTAAGGAAGTTAATAGTTGACATTGTTGGATTTCATAACAAAAAAAGTCCCTGTCTTATCTTCCGGGTTTATGACATCCTCTCATCTTCATATTCTTCCACAACCCTCTGCTGCATATGTGTGCTTGCTTTATTTCCTGTCTCCTGTTGCAGGTCTTCATACATTTTAAACACCAAATAGATGTGTTTCCGCTCTTTCCAGTCATCTTCCCTGCATTTCCATTTACCACAGAGAGTGATAGTAGGCTCAGCTATTTTATTTTGACTTGCCTCTCCACAGTTTCAGGCAGTTTGAGAGAGGCTGTGATGTGGTTTGGGGACCGCAGTGCGCTTCCTATTCAGCAGATAAACAGCCGCTGCAAGGATGATGTAAATCTCTTTTTATAGTGTCAGTCAGTGCAATTTGAGGGAAACACATATTGAGTACTGCCACCTTTCACAAATGTTTTTCATTCTACCCCATTCAACTCGATTTTTCTGAAGAACTGTATAAACAACATGGATTGATTTCCTCCCTCAGGTGAATTCTTTGGAGGCCGAAACATAAATCCCAACAGTTATTGTGCATTAAAAGGAAGTGAGCTCGCAGCTAACACTTGGTCAAATGACCGTGGTGAAACGTCGTCAGCTAAAAGTCTTTTATGGTCAAGAACCAATGTTTCTATCAAGAAATGCAGTATAAGGAGTACTGTGATTAGTATGACGTTGAACTTAGGTAGACAAATATATATTATCTAGATTGGTTGATGGGGTAAATATCCTGAGGAAAATAATAAAAATGTCCCCAGATTACAGTCGTAATATTATAAGGAAAAACTTGGATATTTTCTGAGATAAAATGTGTATATTTACACATTTATCTTGTATTTTATTTATCTAAAACACTACAGCAAGTTATGCAAAACATGTATCTTTAATCTAACATATATTGTATACTGTAATTGTATAGTGAATACAGAAACACTGGTAGGGTGAAGGCCCAATTCACATGGGTCACCTTGCAATACACCTCTCCATCTGCGGTCCCTGTTAGGCCTCCTGGCTGTTACTACCCAGCCGGGGGTATTCTGATGAAGTGAATGACATTGAACCCCCGATGGACAGTGTGTCCCTGGAGGGGAATGGAGAGGATTTAGAGGCAGAGAGTCACCCAGTGTTGATGAATAGAGCCAATGACCCCCAGATACAGCACAAGACCACTCTAAGACGTCTTATAAAGTGGGCAGGTCGTAGTCAATAACACGTTTGATTCAGTTTATTAGGACTATAGAACAAGTTACAAAGGGCTCAAATAAAGAGTGGAAGAGAGTGAAATAAATTGTCAATTAAATGGAAATGGAGATTGAAACAGAAGCAAGGAGCCAATGTAAACTTGTAAAGAATACGATGTGTTCCTCAGTGATTCAGCTACAACAAATCATGTCCTTCTAAAGTTTGTATTGACACTCACTGCTCCACCAGAACAGTCAATATTGGTTCACTTACTACTCATTATAATATTGTACACTATAGCCTGTTTAACCTTGTGTACTCGTAGCTTTTGTGGAGGAAGTTAATTATGTTGCAAGTGATTAGCTGGTAGGTGTTGCAACATCACTTTCCTGGTTACAGTAATCTGTTGTTGAGTGGAAGAGAAACATGATACTGCAGGTGTGGCCGAGCTCTGAAGATTACACATTTAAAAGAAGTAATGCTACTCAACACAAGGATAATCCTCCCTCGGCCTCAGGGCTGTAATTTGTATCCACTCATGTCCAAACAAACTTGAATACTTGAAGGTTTACTGTATGAGAGAGGTGATTAACCTGATGAGTAACCACCCAGGAGAGGAGAGCAATGTGATGATACGACCACATTCACTAGAAGTGGGGAGAAAAGGCAAAAACGACTATTTGCACTTAGTTTGGGGGTGGCCTTAAACATGTGCTCTCTGTGTATGTGGTGGTTGTTAACACATTCTGCAAACATAAATCAAACTGTATCCCTCCATTGAAGACTTCCCTTTTTGTTATGTGAGAAATGTCATTACAATTTGCAGATCTTAGTCAAGAGGTGACCTAAAAGCGCCATGAAGTGATGTCTTGTGTTCCCTAATGTGATGTTTTGTTGTTCCTGCGACAACCGAGGCCGGAGGCGTTGTGTTTTCAGGATGTCTATCCATGTTTGTCCCAATCTTGTGAACACAAAGTCTCAAGAACGCCTCGAGTGAATTCATTTCATTTTGGTTCAAACTTCCACTACAACTCAAGGATGAACTGATCAGTATTTTGTTGGACAAAGTTGAAAGTCTTTGTGACCTCACAACACATTTCAAGTTGCTCTTGCTGCATCTCAAACTCCCTCTCTTTACAATCTGTGTCCTTTAAGTCACAGCTCAAGGTCTTTTTCTTTAAAGGAATGGCCTCTGGGGATCATTTGGAGTGATGTTTGTCTTGGACTCCATTAGTGATGTCAGTGGCAGGGTGGCCCAGCCCGGCTGTGTGTATCTGGGATGATGAGTTTTGGATGAAGGCCCAGCCCTCCTCTGTAGGGTCAGTGTGGCCGTCAGCCAGGGCTCTGCACAGCCTCCTCTTTAAACCTGACAGTCTTTGCTTTCCCTGGGACCTGAGCATACACACATAGCAGGGTGTTAGACAAGCAGAGAGGAGAGGGAAGGAGCTCTTGATCATGGCATCCTCTACGCAGACAATCATAGTATTGGCCGCACAGATAGAGGAGATAAAGTCAGCCACTCCCCAGGCTGCCTTCAAGGGAACCATGAAGCCTTTTGTTAAAGGCAGATTAAAGGCCTTTACAACAAAACGCTTAGTAAATTGAATGTCTACAGTTGACTTTACGGCCTTTTATTCGACTGTATTTACTCTGCGGGCCAAGGCCATTACATTCGCTTTTAGTTTAGTGCTCAAACAATTAGTGGGAAATGATCTGGTCTCCACCAACCACTGGAAACTGCCTGGCTCTTTAAAAAAAGAATATGTGCTCTGTGGAAGTGAACTGAAGATCCAGCTGATACATGTATGGCTCTGTGGGTTTGTTACTTTGAGCCTAACATATGGTCATTTCATCCATTGTTTTTATACAAGTATTAAAGAGTGGCTTTAAGTCATTTTTCAAGCAAAAATACCAAACATTATCAATTACACTCATCATATGGGAGGATTTTCTTCTTGTCTCTGTTTTATGTCATTTTAAATTAAAACTAGGGTTTTAGACTGGAACTCAAACAAAACAAGCACTATTGTGTTGCT